TACTATATTGGGGTTATATAGGGGATATATAGGGATAATGGAAAAGAAACTGGAAACTACTATATTGGGGTTATATAGGGGATATATAGGGATAATGGAAAAGAAAATGGAAACTATAGTATAATTGGGTATATATTGGGGTATATATAGGGGTAATATAGGGATAATGGAAAAGAACATGGAAACTAGGGTTGCATAGGCGGGTTTATATAGGGGTTTTTATATATGAGTGAGGTCTGGGGCTCAAGAATCCCGTGATGCATGCAACAGCAAAATACACTCAATGCATTTTGAATACGCTAGCAAAGAAAGCTGCAAGCAGCCTCTGGCAGCATGTGGGTTTGCTAGCCAGCTTCAAGGTTTGACCACTTTGCCATTTTCTTTTCCATTATCCCAATATACCCCTATATACTCCCTATATAACCCCTATATAACCCTATATATACCCCAATATATACCTAATTATACTATAGTTTCCATTTTCTTTCCATTATCCCTATATAACCCCAATATACTATAGTCGTTTGCAGCATCCAAGTTCCACCCGATATGGGCTTTAGCTAGATAGCTAGCCGTTTCAATTCACTTGCCTTCTGCTCTGGAAACCAGCCGCCAAGAGTGCCTCCTGCACAGTGATGGACATGAAGCACAATTTTAAACATGGTACATCTTACTGTGGGCTTCCATCATGGCGTGCCACTCCTTGCAATCCCAACGACTTGGGGGGGGTGGCGCGCTGGTTCTCATACGAATCACACGATGATTTCTAAAAGCGAGAGCACATGTAATCTACGAGTGCCTCAAACATTCGGGTTCCCTCAATCCCAATGTCTGGTAGCATCTGGTAGCTCACAAAATCAGTTTGGTTCCCAATTGGCGTGACCCAAGGAAGTCATGGAATAATATTATGTATGTGTGTATATATGTATAAAATAAAGGAGACTATAGGGGTCCCGTCTCAGGACTATCTAGCAATCATTCTGAGAAATGCCCATACAAGAAGAGAGCTGACCCGCTCCTCAAAGCGCTGCCTTTGCGAGGTGCCCGTTCGGTCGGTGGGTGCTAGCGACGTCTTCCTGGGTAAAAGGAGGCCATCGTGAGAACATCTGAAGAGGATGCCGTGTGTTTGAGGCGTGGGTGATGCTAAGGATTTGATTGGGAATGGTTGAGGTGAGCAAGCCAGCTCTCGTGGCCGCAATTTGCACCACGACATGTAGCCAACAACATTCACCCAAAGGCAAATGATGGATCTCAAATTGCTTTCATGACGGGGCTCTCAACCAGCAGGAGCGCTCCCCCAGTGCGGAGACATCGACGAGCCCTGTCCAGCATCTCCTAGGATTGCGCGGCACGGTTTGGTTTTGTCTACAGGAAAAGCAAAGCGGGGTGCTGGTGTTTTGATAAAAAGCTAAGCCCAGAACCTCCTCATTAAGAACGCTGCTGAGGAATAAATGTAGGGTAGTGATTAATAAATGGGTTCGGAATAGAGCCAAGTTTTGACTGAACGGAATACTTGCAAGGCAGGAACGGACTAATGGAGAGCCGCAATTGATTCAATGGAAAGCTTTTTGACAGGGCCCTCCAATTGGGGGCCCCGGCTATTTGGAATGCTCAGTCGTTTGGGGGAGGGCGTTGTTAATCACAACCTCCTTTTTAGCGGCCATTGCACGATTCCCAGGGTAAGCAAAAACAGTCATTGTTGTCGTCACGCTCGTTGTTGAAGTGCCTTTTTGAGGACTCCTACTATTGCGAATTATGTACAGGAGTATCCGTAAGTAGTCATTGTCGTCGTGGTTGTAGAAGAAGTAGCAGTGAACCAGGAGTAGTCGTGGCGGCAGTATCGGACTACTGGTCAGAGTACAACAGCAGAAGCAGCGGCAGCAGCAGCTGTCGTACTGCTTTGCTATGCTAAATGATTTTTCCTTTGGTTTTGCTCACCGTAAGGCTTGAGAGAGGCATCCCTACTGCATGCGACAACTCAGCCGCAAGAAGATCTCCGATGAAAGCTATGCTGTTTGTCTTCAGTAAAGAACTTCGGATGTGTGTCGAAACTCAGAAGAAAATTCACGACCTGAATTTTGCAAAGGTATAGTTGGGTCCATACATAAATGCTCAACTTTCACATCTAAAATCCATGCCAAAGAGCCCGGCGCAAGGCGGGCGTTGGCAAAAAAGAGAGAACCTAGGCACGAAACAACATGGGCAGGCTCCAGGGACTAGGGAGATTGGTGCAAGCGAAGACCCGGAAGGTTCAGAGGCGTGGATTCAGCGTGTCAGCAGTTGGTACTACATCAACTCCAAGTCGACCGCCAGGCTCATCACGACGGCATCGAAGCCGCCAGCCTCCAAAATGGGTGCCCCGCTACGCCGCATGATATTGTTGGCACTTGCTTCTTTTTTAGAGCCCCAAGTTAGGCGAGGGTACGAAGCATGCTTCATCCATGTTACAGGATCTCCCCCTGGCAAAGGACGATCCCAAGTCGCGGTCCAGTTGCGTTCATGGTCCGCAGGGATTTGCTTGCTCTCCATTGGGGATGCTAGCTGTCTAGCCCACTCTCTCAGCACGCATCTCAGCCTTCAGTGAGAGTAGGCGGCCAGCGCCGTCCAGTTTCCGAAGCTCTTTGGCCTGATGCCGGAAAAGCGAGCGCTTGCTTGTTAGTAAGATCTGTTAAGTTCGCGGAAAAAATCCATCCTGTTTGTCAAAAGAATGTACTTCTGGAAGCGCTAAGCCTGCCACTGCCGCGACCCATCTTATACAGAAGCAGAAAACAGCCTTTAGCACGCACCCAAAGAGAGCCTCTCAGCACAACTTCAGAGAAGGCTATTGCGCCTAAATTTCCTACAGTCAGAGTGGATACCTCACAAATGCTACATGCCAATTCCTCAAAATCACATCCTGAGCATAGGGACCCCTAAAAAGATTCGGGCAGCAGCGCAAGTTGCCTCCGCGACTTCCACCTGGAGGAAGTCACCCTCCAGGACCTGGAACGGACAAAAGTAGTAAAAGCAATCGCAAAATTGGCTCTACCAAACGTCATAGCACACCGCCGCCTATGCTGGACTCCACACACCTATCCTCTGACGCCCTGCCAAGCCTCTGGGTGCGCGGGCGCAAGGTCCTAGAGTAAAGCTGGAAACTCAACTGCGACTGTTCGGAACATTTGAACGCACTCGGAATTACTACGCTTGAAGGTGTGAATCTTGCAGCATCTGTTAATCTAATTAACCAGCAACCACGAACTCCCTTCTCAACAAGTCTTTTTGCAATGGGGACACATCCTGAAAAACTGCCTTGCGCAACAATGTTAGAAGGGCATGTGGGGTGAGGCTACCCGTGCAACTTTTGTAGTGGAAACAGTGACAGGGGTAGCAGCAGCAGGAGGAACCGCAGAGATCTTGAATAAACAACGTGGTGTTCGTGGGGAAAAGGACTCCTTTCTCCCAGTTCGACCCGCTGCAAAAAGAGGTTTCCCGCCACCCTACAGAGCCCAACAATAGTTTGGGCGGTCGCTGAATCGGAATTTTGTTTGGGCCGTGTTGCTAAATCTGACGGGGTCCCTTGTCTTTGCGGAGGGGTCGATGCGAACTGCACTCGGAAAAATACACACCCCGCTCAAACCATGACCAGGTTTCATGGGTTCTTCGTCTACCCACACCATCTGAAGGTGAAAGGAACTGTCTTTCAAAGCCATGCAGTCCAGCGCAACGACGTTGAACCCATGCCCAAAAAAGGCACCGTAGCTGCTGCCCACGTCCAGCAGACCTTGGCTAATTGAAGCCGGTACCACGGGTGCCACGTATAATGGAAAAGAAAATGGAAACTACTGTAGTATAATGGGGTATATATTGGGGTTTTATGGAGATAATGGAAAAGAAAATGGAAACTACTGTAGTATAATAGGGTATATTTTGGGGTTATATGGGGATAACGGAAAAAACGGAAACTAGTAGTACGTTAAGACATGGTGTCCCTCTTGCTTGCCCGAATGCTGCCAGGTCAGCAGCCTCAGCCTCATCACCCTACTGTACTCTACTATAATATTCTATAGTATAATGTACTATAATATAACCAGAGTATAAAATACTATAATATAACTATAGCTATAATATATGATAGATCACAAGCACCTCCCAACCATGCCACCAAAGCGACACAGTTCTGTCCACTCCGGCATGCCTTGCGGGCATCGCGATATGCCGAGGAATTATCAGGTGGGAAGCTACTGGGCGGGTACCCTTACATGAGCTAATATGGAGAGAACGGAAGGCATATAAGCATACAAGGATATGTAAGGGTTATGTCAGGCCTGTTTATGGGGCAACTACACTCCACAACACTCCAAAGAATTTGACAAATCATGGTAGACCAAAACCTAAAGCCGGAAACGCCAGCGCGCCTTCCGAGCGCAGCTCATTCAGAATCCATGACACCGTCTCTTTGGACCAGTCTTTGCCTGAGTCTTGTGATCACGCATTTTCAGTTCTGAAAGGGAGCAGCTGTGTGGGGCTGAAACTAAGCTCCTTGCAAATGCTGATGTGGCAAAAGAACCATCCAGACCCTCTCGTCTTGTCAAGCGGCTGCCAACAATCGGCGCGCAGTGTCCTGATTGAGACTGGATAACAATTCGGGAGTGTCCAAGCCTTTTTGTTAGCATGTCAGGCACGTTAACCAAGAAAGCTATACTGGAGATTGAATCTTGAGCGTTCACTACATACTGGGTGGGCTCGCCACTGGTACAACGCATGGACCTGGATACAGCTTTTGCCTTCAATATTTATAACTTATGCATGTTTCCCATCGTTTTTGATAATCCATTGTAATCCAAGAATCGGTAGGTTTCCAGCTCCTCACGGGTGAGCCGGAGTTCTCCTAAGAGAGGCTGCAATATACGTCGTACAGTTGCATCAAAGACAGTGCACATCAGCGCTGCCACGAGCACAAACAACATTCCCAGAAGCCCGAACCCCAACCATACGCTGTTTGGCTGCGCCGCGGCTCGTCTTTCGCGTAGGCGCCGATGAATCTCATCGAGGGAGGCGAAGGCATCCTTCCTTCAGGGTCAGCCGCAGAGGGGTAGAAGCTGCTTGTTCAGCACTTCCTGTTGGGTGGAATGGAACCCTTGACAGGTTTTGGCCAAGTGCCCGGCCTGGCACTCTTGTTCTGCAGCAGTCCTCACGTGCTCTGCACTTCAGAAACTACAGAAATCATGAGATTCTAGCTCAGGGTCATCTTTAAAGGTGGAGCTTGTAAGAAAGAATGAGTTTGATTGAGTTTCTTGATTTCAAGAGTTGCTGGCACTCTGAACACTCGCCGTCACTCCTTGGAGGAGCTCAGGAAGGTCTTCTTCAGGAGCCGCTTGGACCTGGCGCTTGCGGCATGTGGGGTGAGTCACCTGCGCACTTCCTCAACCATGCTGTGAGTTCGACATTCGGGTTCAAGTAAAGATGCAAATCAAGAATTACTTGGACACCCGTTAGCAGCTCTGGAACCCGAAGCAAGCACACACCACGGCCCCTCTGCAGCCTGCTAGCACCCCATTGTTTAGCGATTTTGAGTCAGAATGAGCGGCCAAGCACGCCATGCTCCACCCAGTCTGGCTGCTTTTCTTTCATCTCCTGCAAGCTTCCGATGCAGACTAACGAAGCAGGGCCGACTGTCCCCTTTTTCGAGCTTACAGTGGCAAAGGTTATGGTGGACAGTCCTGTGCCAGCGCCATGCCGACCAGTCGGAATTGTTGCCGAGCTTCCCCTTAGACCAGACCGCACTCTGCCAGCTAACTGCATTACGTTGGTGAACGCGTGCCATGTTTGTTGTTTTTGGGGGTAGTGCACCTGCATCTTCAAGGTCCCGCTGCTACACACTGATGCGCATCCTTAAACACTACGTATGGGCTTGTGACATTTTACAACACTCAGTACAGTTTCCATATGCAAAGAGCTGGGGCTGCTTGCTTGAGCTTCGCACGCTGCTGACAGAACAATCCAGAACCACCACAAGCTGCTTATGCCTTACTCTGAGATGCCAAGCAGCTTCCTGACAAGGTCTCGCCAGCAACTGGGAGCAAGTGAGAGGTCTGTGAAGTTGGTTGCATGACACTTTGAGGCAATCGAACCTGCTAAGCAAAGAGCCTCTCTCTCTTGTACTCAGTATTCTTCACATGCACACTCCGTGGAACTGCACATGCATTATAGGAGCAAGGTCTGACGGCTTGCACTGTGCTCATGACTCTTTCATCGGTCAAAAAATTGGAAATGCTCCGCATGTGCCCGTCCTTGGTCGATCAGTGCGATATGCTTGCTATTGCCGCCTGGAATGTTTACTTTCATGCTGTGGTTCAACAAAGGACCCTCCTGGACCGTAGATAGCAAAGATCGATGGGTGTGACAAAAATGAACACCCAACCCCCAAGAACCTTGAAACAAGAGCTTACAAACCTGATCCCTGCATCTTCGAATCTGAACAATGTTAACAATATCCAACCCCAAGCACTAAACCTTTTTCTAAAGCTTCTTCTGCTTCTTCTTCTCATTAGTTGGCGATTTCAGGCACTGCGCTCCGCCGCTGCTGCCAGGGCCAGCGCTCGGGGACGCGAGAGCCCGGGACAGGCCTGGCCAGGAAGAATGAATAAGTATAGCTGTATAGCGCCTGTCATCATATGGGGATTTCCCAAAATTAGGGTTACCTTTCCGGGTCCCCATAATTAGGATTAGAGTATTTTAGGGGTCTATATGGGGGTCCCCCAATTTAGGGAAGCTACCGTATCAAAGGGGCCCTTAAAGGGTACACAGGCAGGGCCGTAAAAGGTGTTTTTGTCATGCCCTTTTCCATCTGCCTGGGCGTCTGGAAGGCTCATCTAGCTGGGCGGGGCTTGCTCTTTAACATAACCAAAGCAACGACAGTGGCCGACAGTGCAAGATTTAGGGGTTATTTATGTCGCTGGTATAGGGTTGGAATTCATACGGGAGGTTGCAAGATGCTTTACAAGCAATGCGTGTCTTAACCCTGATATTCCAACTAGCAGGGAATAGGTCTTACTCACAATCCCAGCGTTCCCCAATCTACTGGTACCCTGGGCCTAAGGGATATGTGGGAGTTGCCTCAGGATAGGGATCAAGCTGATAAACTCTCACATTACCAACATGTACTAAATGACTTGCCAAAACTGATGTTATAACAAAAGTTTTCACGAAAACCGAAAACTCAAGCGCTGCCCAAGCCAGTAGTGCGCTACATATCCTAAAACATCAGCATACGGAGAGCTGGATCACAACTGTAACTGCCCTGGCAATGCACTGAGCCTCCGCAAATCTCCGCTGCAGGAAACTGCGCAAACCTTGAGTCAGAAAGGGTGGCTTCGTTGCTTGATTGAGGTTGCTCGCAGCACGTCATCAAATTGGCCAACCTGCAGGCTGGAATCAAACGACTTAGCCTGCAGCATACTGCAGGAGTATACGGCAATTGCTTGAATGTCCCGCTTGTTAAGTCGAAGCAGCTGTCCGCACGGCTGCAGCCATCGCTCATAGCTGGGAACAAATTGAAGGGAGCCCTGAATGCCCTTAAGTGCTGGGTTAGAAGATCTTGACACTGCAACGGGATGACAAGCATCAGCGGGCAACCGCTGAATCAGCCTGACCAATAATCTGAAGCCGGATGAAGTCTCATGTGAAGCAGGATGCCTTGACTACTAAGTCCTGCGGATCTTTGGCAACACATCATATCACGTCTAATTCCGGGTGATTGTCCACGGGCCGAACTGGCCGCGGAAACCGGTCTTGTTAGAAGTCGCGATGCGTGTCTGAAACGCCAACCTCTGCCCTCTACTTGGTACAGTGTGCGTCAGCCTAGCTTTGGCTTGATGAAGGACAAACAACTTGCAACGCCCTTACGCCTGCCTGGGTAGGTGGGTCCCGGAAACAAGGGGGAACCACGTTGTTACCAGCGCCTGAGATCGCAGAGGGCGTAGTTTGCTTCATGTTTCGCTTCCATCAATGAACTTGCTCTTTTTGACTGTGCCATCGTTGCTGTGGTCAGCGCCTTCCAGAAGTCTTTGAAGTCCACGCTGCCATCCTGGTCAGAGTCGAAGACCTGATGCTAGTACAGAAGCCACGGCAACGATCCAGTAACTTGCTGAAGCTAAGACTACACTCAAACAGCTCACGTCTTCACGTCCATCGAATTCCCCCCAGATAACTAACAATATGTAGCAGTTACGGCAAACCCACAGAAATGTGGCTGGGAGCTCCACTTCCAGCATGTCGTGGACTTGCTCTGGGCTGGCCTCGTCGGAGGCGCAGCAAACTATATTACGTGCGTTGGCTGCTTACGTAACACGTACGAGTTGTGCACAGCTCCGAGCGAAGGTGCGAATTTAATCTGCTTGCCACAACCCGAGGATTACCAGGACATCAGGACATCTTGAGTCAGGACGTGGAAACGGGTATACTTCATGGGTGGCTGTCAAAATTATGGTCACTTTTTGGGTACCCTACATATTAGGTGCCGTATTATAATAGGGACCCCAGAAAGGGACTATTGGGGAAATTAGAGTTATATAAATACATTGGGGATATATGGGGATAATAGAAAAGAAAATGGAAACTACTGCAATATATAGGGATTATATAGGGTGGAACCCTAAACCCGAAACCCTAAACCCAAATCCCGAAACCCTAAATCCTAAACCCTAGGAGTATATATACTTCATAACACTTCATAAAACGAGATCCTCAGGCCGGGCACTTCGACACCCACGCGCCGGAGTGCCGACTCGAGCTCAAGAGCATCGATGCCTTCACTCTTCCATTAGTCACTGTATTGGGGTTATATATGGGTATGTAGGGATACTGTAGGCGGATCTATAGGAGTTGTAGATTGGGACTTAGGGGTTTATTGGAGTTATATTGGGGTTTTATATATATATATATGGGAGAATGGAAAAAGAAATGGAAACCACTATAATGTAATTGGGTTTAGGGTTTAGGGTTATATATGGGTTATATTGGGGTTATATTGGGGTTACATTGGGGTTACATTGGGGTAACATTAGGATAATGGAAAAGAACATGGAAACTACTATAGTATACAGTGGCACCGACCCTTCCAACAAGCCTTTCAGCTGCCCTGCCTTGAAACGCCAATTTACAGATTACAAGGCTTTTGGGACAAATCTGACATCATCTGCCCAGGGAGTTTCAAGGGACCAGTGATCATAATCACTAGCTGATACGAAAACCATACTTTATGGGGTGATAGGGATTGTGTGATACATGTAACAGGAGGATAGCGGGCAACACAGCAGAAGAGATGCGGAAGTACACATTAATAGCCCCGGGTATGACGGCTCGCCAAAAGAATGCAGTCCCAGGGCTAAGGCGGCCATTGCCGTCTGCATCGATGCCGGCGAAGAGTTCTGCTCCAGCATTTGCCGCCTTAAAGGGCACATGCTCAAGCCTTGCCTGAAGTTAGTATGCTCATCAAACTGCAGTGCTTGTTACGGGGAAACTGCGGACTAGTCACTTCGACCTCAGATTTAGGGACCGGTTGCAACACAAATCTGCGAAGATCAAAGCCGGCTGCCCCTGAGCAGGGTTTGGCCAACCTGCTTACTGCCGATTGCCCACTGCCACGATCAACCCTATGGCCCTATGCCTGCAAGTCAATCAGCGCCGCAACCATCTTATGTTTTAGCCACTGTCTCAGACTATACGTCCACGAAAGGGCCGCACACCGTGACTATTCTCTCATAAAGGAAGGGCCTGGGATGCCTACATGTCTCGCACCACCATGCCGAGCTCGCAGCAGCATCCGTCATGCCCACTTGTCGTCCACCAGCCTGGCTTGGGAGCACCACAATCTGACACACACTACAACCTCAAGTTTGGGTGGGGATTAGCAAATTAGCAGTGTCCTGCCTTCAAGATTCGGCTCGCGCTTTAACCCTTTCAAATGCGAAATCGGAGCAAAGCTTTTACAGGCAGCCCGTATCAGGAATGCGATTCCTGAACTCCTTCACACAATTCTTTCATGTGCAGTGGCCGGGAATTGATTCATGATCGTTTGCTGGGAAGACATATTTGCTGAACCATCCTCCACAGAGCAGCGTGCATCTGGCTGGTCCTTGTACTCCCAGTGCCCACAGGAGCCATATTCAGCCTGGCGGTGCCTCTCAGGCAGTGAGAGCTTCGTGAAGCGAAGCTGCAGCAAAGCCCTGGCTGGGATTCCGGCATCTCCTGGGTGCGTATTTGCACCTGCTGCATGGCGCTTCTGTGGTAGCTGGCAATTTTCCTGACCAGCACTGCTTTTTCTGCGCAGCTTTACAATGAGGCAGGAACTGTTGCACTTCTGGACAGTGGCTCGGGCAGCACACTCCGGCTGCCTGTCAGAGACCTGTTCAGCTCTTCCAACCTGCGGACAACTTCTGCCGCAAATCGGTCCTAGGGCCGCTTGAGGCGTGCTGTACAAGTCTTCGCAAATAATGCATGCATCTGTACACTGCCACCGTGGCGGCGTTTCAACCCCTTACCCCTCGCAAACTAATGCTTCTAGAAGAAGCTGTGCAGGCAGAATGTCTGCTTGCCCTTA